CCCTTCACAGGAAATCTTACTGAGAAGCTCAACAACAACATCCCTCCTTAGAGAAGCAAGGAAGGGAGTCCCCCCTACTCAGTCTCCCCTCGTGGGTCCTGGAGCCCCCGAGCACACAGAGCCTCTGCCAGGGCTATGCTCTCAGAAGCACCCTCCTGTCCCCCTTACCCTGGGGTGGCTGGGTCCCTGGGTGTCAGGATGACAGATTGATGGAAGGCTGAGGGGACTTAGCCTGGGAGGCACAAACAACCGGTACCTCCTGGGGCCAGGGTGGAGCCTCTGTCATCCCCAGGGCACCCCAGGCTCTAGGGCCTCAGGGAGTAGTGGTACCCCTCTCCAGGCCCTTGGGGCAAGTGAGAGAAGCAGGAGGTGTCCTCTCTCCAGGACACTGCCTGGTGATGGCCGGACAGCTGGGATCATGGTCAAGTCCAGAGGAGCACAAAGGCCTGGGACAGTCCCCTCACCAGGCCTCCTTGATGCAGACTGGCTGGGCCCGAGGATCTGGCAGTGGGGCTGGAGGGGGGTCCCACAGGACAGCCAAGAGGGTTCTTGGCTTCTCACAGGAGGGAAATCAAATGCGAGCCAGCAGGAGGCGAGAGCAGTTTATCGAAGGCACAGAGTGCGGGTATAGACAGAGTGTCTGGGGGATGTGCAAGGAGAGAGAGTCTGGTCTTTGTTTGGGGTCTGGGGTTTTTATTGATTGTGGGCCCGTGCATGCGTCTTCAAAGGCATCCAGGATCAAAGACAAGTGTTTAGGTGTCCTCCCAAAGTTGCTTATGTCCTGGAGCCAGGGGGCTTGGTGAGTCAGTGGTCTTGGAAAGGATGACCCACCAGGTCACTCCTTAGATGTTATCTGTTGTGCTGGAAAACTCCAAAGAAGTCGCTAAGTCCTTGACCTTTATAAGGAAGACATACATTATCTGTTCTGGGAGGGGGGGGTGTGAGGTAGGGGTGTAGGTCCTAGCAAGAGTAGAGGCAGCAAAAACAGTCTTCCGGGGGTCCCTGCAGGTGCCCTTTCTCCCCACCCCACTCTTCTACCTTTCCTCTGTGCTGTCCGGGCCCCTGCCCTCTCTGGGCTTCAGTTCTGCCTTCCGGCCCTGCCTGCCTCCCTCCCACACTGCTGGGGCTCAGAGATAACAGATGAGCAGGACCCTGGCACAGGAGGCTGGCATTCATATGGCCAATCTGGGGGGCTTGAGAGGCAGCCACGAATGACCCCCTCGCTGACCCGTTCCTGTTCCAGGGGACTTGGCCTTTCATTTGGTGAGTCATCATGAAGCTTGTCACAAGGTAGGTTGGTCCTTTCTCTCCAAAGGGGCTAATGGAACATAACCTTCTCGAACTTTACAACCCATTTTTTCCTAAATTGTGGGGGCCAATGAACTCAGAAGACGGGACCTGCTGCCAGCACAAAATCCCTCGGTTTACTGAAGAATCCCTGTGGGGGTGGTGCTCTGCCCCTTTAACAGGGGAATGAAGTAATGATGTTGAGTAATGATGAAGTAAGATTTGATGCATGCACTTGTTTCCCTGCCTCCCACCCCAAATGTCTGAGTCAACCTGATGCTCTGGAAGCTGGCCCATGTCTGTCCTGTGGCGACCCTCCCCCACCACACACTCCTCGTTGAGAAAGTTGTAGGAGAGCGTGAGTTCTGTGGTCAGAGTGACCGGTTTCCAGTTGTGGCCCCAATGCTCTGTGGCCCTGGACATGTCACTCAACCTCTCTGAGCCTCCATTTCCTCTCTGCTTTCACTCCCCAGTGAGGCCAATATGGGGATGGGGTTTGGGGTAGAGACAGTGCTCAGGATGCTGTTTCCTTCCGTGGCACAGAGCAGCCCCCCCAGAACCTTCAAGTGGATCTGCTGACGGGCTCTGCGGGGGGCAGGGGCACCATGTCAGTCAGGAGCCGCCTCGGGCAGACTCAGGAGCCTGGAAAAGTGGTTACTGAGGCCGGCCTGGGCGGTGCCAATCCTCCAGCCCCTGCTTCCAGGAAGAGGAGCCTCGGGGAAGGAGTGCTGCCTGCTGTGAGACTTCTCTCCGGGGGCAGGTCCCCTCCCCACCCCCTGGTGCCCTGACTCCCAGGCCCCTCAGCCCGCTGCTTAGGACTGAGGGCCGCATTAAATAAGAACTCCCCTGCCCTGTCCCCTCAGCCCCTGGCTCCCCCCATTCTACTTTCTGTCTCTGTGAATTTGACGACTCCATGTATCTCATATGAGTGGAATAATGCAGGATTCGTCCTTCTGACTGGGCAGCATCATGCCCTCCAGGTTCATCCATGTTGTAGCCTATATCAGTGTTTCCTTACTTTGTTTTTTAAGATTTTATTTATTTATTTGACAGAGACAAAGCGAGAGAGGGAACACAAGAAGGGGGAGTGGGAGAGGGAGAAGCAGGCTTTTTAAGATTTTTATTTATTTATTTGAGAGGGAGAGCGTGTGTGTGTGTGTGTGTGTGTGTGTGTGCAAGAGAGAGAGAGTGAAAGAGAGAGAATGAGCAGAGGGAGAGGGAGAAGCAGGCCTCCCGTGGAGCAGGGAGCCCGACGCGGGGCTCGATCCCAGGACCCTGGGATCATGACCTGAGCCGAAGGCAGCCACTTAACGACTGAGCCACCCAGGCACCCCAACATTTCCTTAACTTTTTAAGACTGAGTGGTAGTCCATTGTGTGGATAGACTACATTTTGTTTATCCATTCATCTGGGTTTTTAATTTTTTAATTTATTATTTTTAAA